CTATGCTATGGAGGTTGTAATACAAGTGGCTTTCGGCCGGAAAGTGTCGGCTCTGATTGAATCAAACAACCCTATCATAGAAAATGCCCGCAAAATGTTTAGTACGAGTTTATTTACCTTGGTGAAATTGTTGTTCGTAATGCTAGCCCCAAATGTGGCCAAAACCTTTAAAATATCACCGTTTGATAGAAAAGTTACGCAATTTTTCCGCGACTTTTCCCTCACTTTAATCGACGATAGGAAACGTGGTTTAGAGACCGGAAGTCCTGTAAAAACTATACGAAGACATTATAAAGTTCAAAGAGCACCAGGTTTGTTTTTAGGCAACTGGACGGGATTGACTTTAAAACCCCGTCGGACCCAGGGACCCAGGCTTTTATTTAATTTTTATTTAACTGCATATTGTAAGCAAGTCCAGTTTAAAATAAATTAAATACACTTGCTTATTTGCAAATTTAATTTAATTTTATTTAATAACTTTGTTTTTTTACATTAAACAGTATTTCCTACACAAAAAACATACAGTTTGTTAAATGTACGGCACCAGTAGCCCAAAAGATAACTCTCTTACATAATATCAATGCAGTTATATAGGCTATACTTTAACATGTAGAACTTTCTAGAAGTTTCTAGAAAAGTCTTTGTGTTAGGGAACGGGAGGTATACACATTACACTCAGTATTACATAAGCATATGTGTAGCTTATTACAATATTATGGTGTATTTNTCAATGCAGTTATATAGGCTATACTTTAACATGTAGAACTTTCTAGAAGTTTCTAGAAAAGTCTTTGTGTTAGGGAACGGGAGGTATACACATTACACTCAGTATTACATAAGCATATGTGTAGCTTATTACAATATTATGGTGTATTTAGATAATATGGTTCATAAAAGTTACTAATATTTTATTATAATTATATAGTTTAGAAATTAATTTAATAAATATAGAGTTTGGTCCCTGGATCAATTTAAAGTCAATTCCTAATGATTTCTTGAAAATAATTTTCTTCATTAGTCACAAATAGCTATCATCTTAATAATGGATAAATTATAGTATGAGCTATTTAATTTCATAGTAATCTATGTCAATTCCTGATACAAATCGATGGAAATGAAATATAGGGACTTTAAAAAACCGATAGTTAATAGTAATTAGGACATGACATGCTATGCAATGACTCAAATAAGATACAGTGGTTAAAATAATGTTAAAATAATTTTTAAAATACTTTATAATAGAAAACAAGTACCGATTCTTACGAAACGTTGTATGTATTGAAATACATGGACGCACTCATCGACGAAACCTTACCGCTATACCCCGGGGCCGTAACCATAGAGAGACTTTCCTCGGAGAACTACGAACTCAAGGGCACCGGTATTACCATCAAAAAGGGTCACGTGGTGCACATCCCAACCTACGCCATACACAGAGACCCGGATAACTTTGCCGATCCCGAAGTGTTTAGACCGGAAAGGTTTTTGTCGGAAAATATAGCCCACAATCCCTATACGTATCTACCATTTGGTGCCGGCCCTCGAAACTGTATTGGCATGCTATTAACTAAGTTGGAGATTAAATTAGCCCTGATCAACCTAGTTGATAGATACGTATTACACGCTACAGAGGTATTATACTTTTTAATTAGTTAGTAGTTTGATAATTTAAATAAGTAACATGATAAGTTATTATTTTTGCTTATAGAAACCCTTGGAGTTGGTAATGTCCCATGGTCTCATTATACCGAAATATGTTGACATCATTTTTAGTAAACGTGTTGAACATTAAAAATGTTTATTTATAATAAATTATATTATATTAATGCTAGTATAGCATAAAGTAGTCAATATAGTTATAATTAGTTACAATTGGAAAATTGACAATTGTGCAAGTAACAATATAAAACTAAATCTGTTATAATTTATTGTTAATTCAGGAAAGTTTAAAATAGATAAAAGATGTATTAATACTTTAAAAAGTGATCCAGTGAATTATATCCATTATTTAGTAAACAATTAAATATAGACCTTATATTATATTAGATTTAAGTGCATAATCCTATTTAAATAAAGATTAATTGCAGAAATAATAAATATTAAAAGTTTACAAAAATATTCTTATAATATTCTAAACTAAAAATTTATATTAAAAGTATATTAAATTAAATTTCAGATTTGATAAAAATCTTTTAACTAAAATTATTTAATATAACTAATAAGTTATAACAATCATTGCCAACAATATTGTTTCAAATTTACAAATATAAAGTAATTATTATTAAAACTATTAAAAGCATTTCTAAATTTATCTTGATCATAAACCCTATTGATTTACACTGTCCGCTACCATACGGATAGTCCTTACATACAGTTCCCGACATCTGCAGCGACTTATTATGTACTCCCGAATCAAACGCCTGGACCCAACTGTCCGGACACACTTTGGGGGCAATATTCTGCAAACACCGGTAGTCCTCCCATGTCTTACAGCACTGGTATTTCGTGGTGTTATGACTATAGTCACCGATTTTACAGTAGTTGTCAACCAATGGACTTGTTTTCAATAGTCGGTCGCATTGACCGCAAACATCATCACAACCAATATAACCATCACTATTGGCGGTGGACAGGGAGGTAATACCGGTGCACTCGTATAACATAATTAAATATAAAATTTTAAATATCCTCATTTTTTATAAAAATATAATAATGTATAAATTATATTATTTTAACAAATAAATTATATTTTATTACAAAAACAATACGTTTTCATAAGTATTTCACACATTATATCACTGTTTTATAAATATTTTTGAAGTCATCTATAAATATATTTATTGCTATTATTATGATATAAATCCATATATTCATTGTGTTTAATGCTGTAATCAATGATTTATGAAATAGGGTTATCCAAGGTTATCAGATTGTTATATGAGTGAGGTAAACAACACTAAAAATATTGTATATTTGTTAAAGCAATACATTATTAGCTATTATCCACTAATAATGATTAAATAATCACCTTGGTGATGACATTCTTAAGTGTTGACTCAGCTATTTCAATAATTTATGTTAACATGAAACAGTTCTATAATCTTATCAATAAATTAATAACTAATAAAAACTAATTATATAATAATTATTTAACATTATTGTCAATAATACTCTGTATACTATTTATTATATAATGTTCAATAACCTGTCTGACAAACTCCCTTTCCTTTATTCCTATCCCTTTCCTGTTAAATAAAATATATGTTATAATTAGGAATGCAATAAAAGTGGATAAAAAGTGGGTAAAAATGAAATAAATTAAGTGAATGACCCATCAGTTATTATAAATTATTACTAATTTTTACAAATAGTATCTATTTGATCGCAAAATATATTCATGAATTGAAATCATTTTATATAGAAAATAAAAATGAATTTTATTTGACATATTCATATTTGATTCATTTAACCAATTGATAGGCTTATTGTAAGTAATAATCACTGAATAATAGACTATTTCATATGATTTATTTTATTTATACTCATTTTGAATCATTAATAATGAATATTTTTATAAAATAAATCAAATTCCCTTGATGAGATATTTTGCAAACCGAGATTATTGCTAATAGATTACTTGTAAACTTTATTAATACAATTTTTA